ATTTTTACATTTCAATGCCATGCTATGCTTAGTATATCGGAGAGGGCTGGTTGCCTACTAATATCTGCAAGAAGAATGTTCAGATGTACGATATTTGAGATATTAAATAGTGGCTCGGGAAGAATTGCGTCTGCGAGCTTCCCACAACTACATCACCTTCCGGACCAGCTGAGTCCGGTGCTGTGAATGAAAAGTCAAAGAAGTGCTTTTCTGGCGTTTTGGTCTTGGAGACTGCAGGAGAGGCGCCAGGTCCCGCCAACTGTATCGCGATTGGCTGCCTGGGTTTATCAGCGAATTGCCGCCAAAATGGTGGAGTTACAGTGCAGCCAGTCGCTTCTTTTGGTGGGAATCTCTCGCCCCGCCCCTCTAGCAATCTCCAAGGCCGAAAAACGCCAAAGCACTTTTTTGACTTTTCAAGCCAGTACCGGACTTAGCTGGTCCAGAAGGCCATGAAGCCGTGCAAAGCTCGCGGTCGCACATGCTGGAGGATTCGGCGTGTTGCCGAATTTGATCTTACTTGGGCGCTATTCCAGAATACACAATCCAAAAATGAAAAATCTTGGATTTCGCGAAAAATTTGTACATAAGGGTTATTTGATATGCTGATCACGAAAATGATATTCATTTCGCATGTGACGTCACAGTAGTCGTTCTGTAGCTGGTGATGCCGTATTGATCACAAGTTCTGAAAATACAAAAAAATGCACAATAATAGAGTTAATAGCACCGTTGTGTCTCATGAATGATAGTGAGAAGATAACTGAGCTTGGCTAAAAAAGGTCTTTAAGTCGAGCACTTTTTGCAGTGAGAGCACTGTCGGATCGGAATGATGTGACAGGATTTTATTTTACCAAGCAGAAGCTAAAAAGAACTATTCACCAATTTTCCTGTTAAATAGACAAGCGCTATTCCTGGCAATTTTCTCTACCATTGTTATGCTCTGATCATCCGAAAAAGAACTCTTCCGAAGTTCAATAAGAACAGGAGATAGAAGGTTTTTTTTTGAAGCCCATTCCTTAATGAGACTATGACTGACATAAAAGTACACTAGTAGTTTCCATGTTTATATAGTACTTAAAGGTATTGAATATCACCTGCTCAGATAATCGCCGGGGGCAGGCGGCCATGCGAATTTTGAGCAAGCGGACACCGGAAAAATAGTTCGCTGACTTCATGCGGTCCGCTTGCAGAAATTTGAAAGAATGTTGGCCAATTTCCAGAGGAATGCCCCGAAAAGTATCGTGGTTTTCTATAGATTAGTTGCGGCACAGTGGCCGCATTCCCGCGAGAATATGCAAAAATATTGAGGGCCGCACGGTCCTTGGCGGAGGACCGCACAGCCCGTAGGTAACCCTCCGCTGAAAGAAGGTACCTCAAACTTGAGTAATTAAACCATCGATGACACCTCTGCCACATAGAGTCTCATCTTTGCTCGGCGTATGCCCGAAACTGCGTTAAAGAGTCCCAGCGCTTGCTGAAAGTTTAGCCAGCGCTCGCTGAAAGAAATTACTTGCCGAGCGCTTGCAGAAAATGCTGTAATGTTGCCCGCTGGCAGAATATGCGACCGTAAAGGAAGTGCCGCCCGCTGAAGGTTTGGCCACGCCCCAAAATTCTGCTGACCGCCTGCAGAAAAGCGCGAGTTTGCGGACCGCCTGCCCCCGGCGATTATCTGAGTGTATCACCTGTATCCCCGTTCATCGTTGCTTGACACGAGCTGGACCCAGTGACGCCTCCATTCGTCCCTGTCGCGAGCGATCGTTGACCAACGTCTTCTGATCGCACCAGGTACACAAGGAACGCTCTGAAGGACCTTAAAGGACTCCGTGAACATGTCCGACCATCGAGTCAGCAGTCTTCCTGTTCCGCGTTTGACGTCCAGCGGTGTCCAATCTGTTACAGCTCTGGTCCACCGATTGTCGTCAAACGCATCACGTGTCCGGCCCATCTGATTTTATTCTGTTTGGTGTATGCGGCAGCATCCCTGATTTTCGATCGTTGACGTAGGATGGAGCTTCGTATTCTTTCCCTCGCTTGCGCGAGTCGGGACACTCCTAACATCGCTCTCTCAACAGCGCGTTCGATGACGCTCACCGCATGTTCGTCCTGCTTCCTCATGCTCCATGTTTCCGAAGCGTACGTCAAAGCAGACAGAACCGTCGTGTTGAAGAGATGGGCGCGGAGCCGGATGTTCCTGGTCTTCTTCACTACGTCCTCAATTGCCTTGTATGCTCCCCATGCTTCTCGTTTCCTCCTGCTCAGTTCCGGGGCTAGATCGTTCATCATGTTGACTTCCCGACCTAGGTAGACGTAGCTAGAGCATTCGGCGATCGTCATTCCATTCAGCGTGAAAGGAGCATCAGGAACCCATCCGTTTCTCATGAACATCGTCTTCGTCAGATTTAGCTGCAGACCGATCTTTCCACCACGTCTTCAAACTGGGCCAGCATTCGTTCCGCTTGCGTGATGTCCGGTGTAATTAGGACTATGTCATCCGCGAAGCGAAGGTGGTGTAGTTCCAGCCGTCGACTTTCACACCCATATCATCCCACTCTAGTGTCCTCATGACGTTTTCGAGAGCAGCGCTAAAAAATTTCGGCGATATCGTATCGCCTTGTCGTACTCCTCTCTTCACGTCGATGGTGATGTCCTTGTAGGATGGTGTGATCTTCGTTGTGAAGTCGTTGTACAGCTAACGAATCATCTTGATGTACTGAGTTGGAATACCTTGACTGCTCAAGGCATCGATGACAGCCTCAGTGTCAACCGAATCGAATGCCTTCTTCAAATCGATGAAGGTGAGACAGAGCGGCATCCTGTACTCTCGCGATATTTCGATGAGCCTTGTTATCGTGTGTATGTGGTCTATAGTGCTAAATCCTTTCCGGAATCCAGCTTGCTCGCATGGTTGTCTTTCGTCTAATTCTCTTCCGATCCTGTTAAGAAGTACTCGTGTGAAGAGTTTATAGGTTGTAGACAATAAACAGATAGGGCGATAATTTCCGATGTCGCGGGGGTCTCCCTTCTTGTACAGCAACACGGTCTTGCTGGTCTTCCATAGTCTTGGAATCGTGCCCTCCATTAGGTACCGCGTGAAGAGCCTCGCCATAGTTCTAATAAGAATTGGTGGGAGATTCTTAAGGTGTTCCGGTTTCATCCTGTCGGGCCCGGCTGCTGTACGGCTTTTCATTGGCATGATAGCATGTCGAACCTCCGAAGGAAGAACTGATGGTGCAACATATCCGTCCTCCTTGAGATGGCATGGCGGTAGGTGGACGTGACTCGCAAAGAGATCCGAGTAAAATTCGTTGATGACTTTTTCCATCGACGTTCGAGAAGATGTCGTGGTTCCATCAGAGCGGTGGAGTGCGGTCATCTTGGTCATATAATTGACGATGCTTCGGCGGGCGTTGCGTATACTTCTTCCGGTCTCTGCGGCGTCAATCATAACGTGTGCTCTTTTCTCTTTGAGATCTTCTTTTATCGTTTCTCTGCATTTCTTCGCGAGCTCAGACGTAAATTGGTAGTTGCCTGATGCGCGTGCTCGTCCACGTTGGCGTATTAGCTCTAGAGTCTCAGTTGACAGGCGCTTCCTGGTACTTCTTGAGCTCTCAGCTTCCTTAGCACAATCGTGGAGATTCTGGATAAATCTTTCATATTCCTCGTCGATGTTGTCGATCACGGTATCTTGCCAAGAGCCAGATATGGAAGAAAACATGTCCCAGTTGATGATAGTCGTGGGACGGTGTTTCCTGAACTTGATGGCTCTTTCTCCATTCCGTGAGAAGTAGAACTTGGCACGAAGGAGACGATGGTCCGATCCCGTGTAGAACTTCGGGACAACAGCGACGTCGGTCAGGCAATAGCTTCTATTCACGATGATGTGATCCATCTCGTTATGGTACTCTCCACCGGGCGATTCCCAGGTCCAGCGTCGGGAAAGGGGCTTTTGAAACTGCGAGTTTCCATGGATGATCCTCGTCGTCATGATGAACTCGGACAATCTCTCCCCTTGTTCGTTCCACTGTAGTCCATGGGTCCCGATGTGAAGTTCCGCAGGCGACCTTCTTGCTCCGATCTTTGCGCTGAAGTCACCGACGATGACCTTGTAGAAAGTGTGTTCTTCTCTGTAGAACTTCTCCAAGTCCATGTAAAAGGCCTCGACTTCATCTTCGTCGTAGCTTGATGTTGGGGCGTACGCTATGAAGACCGTCAAGGCTGGGATTGATCGACATCGTGATATTCGTAAACGTCCGATCCGGGTTATGAGTTGTTCGAAGGAATCGATGCTCACGGCCAAACTTGTATTGACAAGGACTCCTACACCGCCGACTCCCTTGCTGTCGCATGTTCCTAAGAACAGTTCTTCTCCAGCATCAAACGTGGCGTTCAGCGGGTGGTGTCTCCTTGTCTCGGTCAGTCCGATGACGTCGTACTTGATCTTCTTTGCTTGCATCAAGAGGTCTTCGATGGATGCGTCCGATGCGAGCGTCCGTGCGTTGCAAGTACAGATCGTCATCATTGTCCGTCTCGTTTTCGGCAGCCTAGATCGCCCTTCAAATCTTGTCCCCACCGGCGCTGCCTTACCAGTGGCTCTTCCAAGATTAAGGGAGCTTTCCATTATATCACTGTGTTTAACGATTAATTACTCGCAGGCAGCTTGTTGGGCTCAAATCTCCCGCGAGGGACGGTCGGAGCTTATTTGTTAGAGGCGACTCCGAGCCCGCCTCTCCCACACCTACCCGGGAAATAGGTATGCAAGCTTTTAATGGAGGCAGGGAGTCCGTTCCCCGGCTCCGCTTGCTTATCAGAGCAGGCGCGGGGTCGCTTTCGGTCGGCGATTAGCCCCATATCCGCCACCGGGGGACGCCCCACGTAGCCTCGCGACTAACCGGCTGGGATCCCTCTGCGAGGGAGATCCGTGGTATTGAATATAGAAAATCAAAATAATTTTGAGAGTGCGGTTTCCAAGTTTCGCGGTCTCGCTCTTCGTCCTCGTCCCACTACCAATTCTTCTGAACGTTGCGGGATTGCTGTTCCTCGTCGTCCCATGACCGTGGCTTTTGGGCGTCACGGTCCTGCTGCTCCTCCTCGTCCCATTTTGGCACCTTTTGGTTGGGATGCAGCACATAGCGTGGATGTCCGGGAAACACCAACCAGACCTCTCCGGGTGCAGCGTGTGCAGCACCAGATAAGCGGCTGGGCGGGGCAAGTAGAAATCCAAGAGAGATGCCCTGGGTGCCTGCAGTTTATAGTTGTATTTATACAAAAGATGATTATACAGGGTGTCCCAAAAAAATGTATCGAACGTTTGATCGTTAATATCTCTCTTCTCAAGAAGTCTTTTGCCTTGCTTCAGGTATCGTTTTGTAGAACTGGCTTCAACTTAGATTTGCATTATAAAACGAATCACCCATCTTTCTTCATTACTGTAGGATTACGGTAGAAACTTGAAACATATGGCGTCAATGTGGAAAAAGCTGCCTTTTCAAAATTTTTCAAAAAATGTGAAAACATGTCTAGTAGGGTTTTTATGGACGCTGAGTTCAATACTCAACTATTCACAAGGTTACGAAGCTTTCTAAACGGTTTAATCGCAGTTTTTAAGAACATTGAAAAATGGCCGCTACCTCTTACTTGGCATAACTCTTCAATGAAGCATCATAATAAGTTGGGAACTTTAGAGTTATAATCAGCAACTCTAATTAGCCTAGTGTAAAAGTTTTCAGGCTGTTTTGTTTCCTTTCTGAGGCAAAATATGGGCTTTCATTGCTTAAAACCCTCTTTGAAGTTTCTACCGTAATCCTACAGTAATGAAGAGAAATGAGTGACTCGTTCTATAATGCAAATCTAAGTTGAAGCCAGTTCTACAGATTGGTACCTGAAGCAAGAGAAAAGACTTCTTTAGAAGAGAGATATTAACGATCAAACGTTCGATACATTTTTTTGGGACACCCTGTATAATGTATGACAGTACGTGAGGTTTGCATCCTTCGGGAACACCGCTTCGCCCGTTGTTGTTTTTTCCATTCCTGGGAAGGTTCTTCGGTTGTGATGGGAGTTTCGTCCCTGATGCTGCTTACAGGCAGTGTCCCACCAGACTGGGGGTATCTGGCTCTCGTAATGATGTAATAGTAGACCCCCTATGTAAGCGATGACTGAAGTTCGGAGCGAAAAAGGGGGGTCTACAAAGCCTGAAATTTGCTCCGAAAGTAGGCCGAATCTTACGGTAGGATCGGGCGAGTGCGAGGTGCATGCAAGGTAGAGACGCAGAGTGGTTGCGGGTCCGCGCTCATGATGTGTGCGCTATACGTACTCTGGCCCTGCAAATCGATATTGCCGTGTGGGCGGCGTTCGGCCCTACCGTAAGAATCGGCCCACTTTCGGAGCAAATTTCAGGCTTGGTAGATCCCTTTTTCGCTCCGAACTTCAGTCATCGCTTAGGTAGGGGGTCTACTATTACATCATTACGAGAGCCAGGTACCCCCACTCTGGTGGGACGCTGCCTTTAAGATAAATGTCAGTAGTTCAAAAGCGTCCACGCCTAAGATTCTCATATTCTACAAACGATTTGAGTTCGAAGCCGGAACCTCCACGTAAGGTCCCGGCTACTTCCGAAAATTTAATGTCATCCCTGGACTACAGTGATTACAGTAATTCATGTAGATGTCTGTCTCAAAACCTCTCTCCCCCAACAATATTTATTTCGTTGATTCCGTGAGCGAATGAAACAAAGACAACTACAGCGAGGGATATGAAACTGTCATCTAGATAGAGAGAGAACGAGTAGGAATATGAAGGAAGAAAATAGTGAAAACTAAATTGACAACATGAGATTACGATGTCTCACAAACTTCTCACATATTCATACTATTCCTTAATGGAGCTTCTAGCAATTATCGATATTTTACATTGGTGTCTTGCTTGATAATAAAGTGAAAGTTATAGAGAACTAAATAAATGCATATAAGAGCACTTTCACGCTTCCATCTCGACCAGTTCCATCATGCTGTTGATTGCTTCAAACTTGTCACTTCCTAATCTTCATTTCTCACATCATAGGTTCTTGGAAGTTCCTTCGCATCTCGTTGAGTGATCCTGTCCTAAAAGCTATTGCCATTTCAATTCCAGTTGTCGCTGTGCAAATATGAGCGTATTGCAAATGAGAGCTTCGGAGAGTGCACATTCTTTACATCTACCAGTTATTGAAAGGTTGCGTCCCGCAACCTTGACCTGCTCTTCATTTTTAGCTCTGGACGTGATCCATCATTGATCAAGCGTTTTAGAGAACATCAAAATATGGTCAACGATCAGTGGTTTCTTCTCCGCTATGTTTCTTCTTTGTTTCCGGCGGGCGCCCAGCTGCTCGTAGAATTCAGTGATTCACCATCTTGGTACGTTTTGATCGAAATCTTCTTCATTCCTCTACTATTGTGCGCGCTTTAACAATATAAATATCCATGCGGCTCACGCCAGAGGGGAAATGGAATGGTTGCGCGGCAAGAGTCTTGGCGCGAGTTTCTTATTTGTAAGATAACTATACTGCGCAAGCACATCGCGGATTTCATCAACAAATGCAAACTATGTCAAGCACGGAAAGATCCGAGCGCTTACAGAATAAGAGAACCACTACGCACAGTTGAAATATCTACCAAACCATTGCAATGAGCGCATTCAGACGTAATCGGCCCTTTACCGCTGACAATGGACGGAAACAAATAGATTATCGTCTTTATAGACTCGTTCTCCAAATATATTAGGTTGAACCGAAAGTTCGTTCGCACCATTTTCAAAAAATCATAACTTCTTCCCTTCACGACGATTTTGCGCAATTTAAATTTTGTTAGAAAGCTTAAAGCATTTAGTTTCCAACAGTCCCCTGGAGACTTTCCAGCATGTTCAGATTACAGAGATAAAAATGAAAGAACGAAAACATCCGAAATTCGGAATTTTTGAGAAAAAATTCTAAAAATCCAGAAACTGCGCGATAAAACCCTGAAAAGCCATTATCCTAATTTTTCTTACATTTGATTACTATATGAGTCAAGTTTGTGCTGATCGAGCCCTTCTTTCAAAAGTTATGATTTTTTGAAAAATAATGCCAAAAAATCAATTTCTTAGGAATTCTTAGGAAAGTGATTTTTCGGAATTTTTTTTAAAAAAATCATAACTTTTGAAAGAAGAGCTCGATCAGCACAAACTTAACTCAGTTGGTAATCAAATATAAGAAAAATTAGGATAATGGCTTTTCCGGATTTTAGTTTCTGGATTTTTAGAATCTTTTCTCAAAAATTCCAAATTTCGGATGTTTTCGTTCTTTCATTTTTATCTCTGCAATCTGAGCATGCTGGAAAGTCCCCAGGAGACTATTAGAAACTGCATGCTTTACTCTTTCTAAAAAAATTTAATTTGCGCAAAATCGTCGTGAAGGGAAGAAGTTATGATTTTTTGAAAATGGTGCGAACGAACTTTCGGTTCAACCTAATATAAACGCGGAACCTGATCAAAAGGCTAACACCACTTCGCGTATTTTCATCACTCGCTTTGTAGCAAGGTTTGGACTACCGGAAACACTGATAACGGACTGTAAGGACCCGGCTACTTTTGAAAGTTGAACTCTCTCCCCAACAATATTTATTTTGGTAAGTTTAATGAACAATTGGAACCAGAGCAATACAACGAGTGATATGAATCTGTCATTTAGATAGAGAGGGAATGAGCAGAAATATGAAGGAAGAAAATAATAAAGATTAGATTAACACCATGAGATTCCGATGTCTTACAAACATAAACTCACATATTTATACTATTCCTTCCTTCCTGGAGTTTCTAGCAATTATCGATGTTTTACATTGGTGTTTTACTTGATAATAAGGTGAGAATTATAGAAAATTCATATCAGAACACTTTCACAATTCCATCTCGACCGGTTCCATCATGCTGCTGATTGCTTCAAACTTGTTACTTTCTAATTTTCATTTTTCACATCGTTTCGTGTCTCGTTGAGTGATCCTGTCCTGAAAGCTATTGCAGTTTCAATTGCAGTTGTTACTGTGCAAGTATGAGCGTGTTGCATATGAGAGCTTCGAAGAATAAACATCTTACAATAAATATCTCTTTACATCTACCGGATACTGAAAGGTTGCGTCCCGCAACCTTGACCTGCTCTTTATTTTAGCTCTGGAGGTGATCCTGCGTAACCAAGCGTCTTAGAGAACATCAAAGTATGGTAAACGATCAATGGTTTCTTCTTCGCTAAAGTTCTTCTTCGTTTCCGGCGCGCCCAGTTGCTCGTAGAAGCCAATGATCACCATCTTGATACATTTTAATTGAAATCTTCTTGATTCCTCTTCTATTGTGCGCACTTTAATAACATAATCCATGCGGCTCGCGCCAGAGGCGAAGTGGAATGGTTGCGCGGCCGAGAGTCTTGACGCGAGTATATCATTTGTAAAATAACTATACTAGGATGCCATTTGCCTCATACAAGTTCCATATTCCGCAGACAGGTACACTTGCGCAATCATTATCTTTTTAGATGACCGCGGTCGACAGGGGATACTGTCCTAATGAGTGTATGGGAAGAGGAATATGTTTGGAAGTAGGTGGTCACTTTCGATGTCTCTGTGACGATAAACTAAACAACTGCGAAGGATCTTCTGTCAAACTGGTATTCGATCCTGGTTATTGAATCCCCGTTGGAAGTATTGTTGAGTTGTCTCCATTGTCGGCTCTCTTACTGAAGATTATGACTGCACTCTCGCTTTACAGTTGCGCTGTTGATTCGTCGTCGTCGTCGTTTAACGTCATCTCCTGAGCTCACCACGCATATTTCTTTACACAGTTCAGTTTTACCGTTACCAGTGGTTCCTGAGCTGGAAAACATTCTATTGTAACTAATAGTTATTCGTTGTTAGTTACCGGATTGTTTACTATCATTTTACAATAGCTGCAATGTAATCAACAAAGAAATTACACTAACAATTGAATGATTTTACACACAGAAAAAAGGAAAGTATTACGAAATTGAACTACACTATTCTAAAGAAGTGTCGCTGGTGGGGTAAAAGTTATCTTTTTATTTTTTTTTATTTTGCGGAATCTCCTTTGTATAGCTTCGTACGGTCGATGTGAATAGTCCTTTCGCGCTTCCCGTCCAAAATTGTAATGTTAGGTAGGTCAATAGAAATGATTGGAAATGGTCCCTCGAATCGTGCTGCAAGCTTATGAACGCCATCTTTCCTTATCCAGACTTTCTCACCTATCTGATACTGCGTTCTGGGGGTTCTCGCTCTCAAGTCGTAATGATGCTTCTGTTGGTCCTGCGCTTTTATCAGATTCGAATAGACGTGTTGGTACGTATCCTTCAGAATCTTGATAAAATTATCCACGTAGTCCTCTGTATCTGCATATTTCCTTGTTGGTAGTTGGAGCGCTAGCTGAAAAATATTCGTGGGATGGTGGCCATGAACGAGGAAAAATGGACTGTATTTAGTTGAAGTATTTTCCGCGCTACTGCAGGCATGTGCCACGAGGTGGAGAACATAATCCCATTCGTCGCCATGTTGACGAGTAGCAATAGCGATTTGTTCCTCGAGCGTTCGGTTAACGCGTTCCACCTGTCCGTTTAATTGGTGGTGATATGGAGTACTCGTACGGTGTTTAACATGTAGATTACGTAGAAGAGTACGAAATGTTTCGCTCATATAGTTCGATCCTTGGTCGTTATCAATGTTTCCGGTAGTCCAAACCTTGCTACAAAGCGAGTGATGAAAATACGTGAAGTGGTGTCAGCCTTTCGGTCAGGTATTGGTTCCGCGACTATATACTTGGAGAACGATATAAAAACGATAATGTGTTTGTTTCCGTCCATTGTCAATGGTAAAGGACCAATTACGTCTGAATGCACTCGTTGCCATGGTTTGGTAGATACCTCAAATGTGCGTAGTGGTTCTCTTATTCTGTAAGCGCTCGGATCTTTCCGTGCTTGACATAGTTTGCATTTGTTGATGAAATCCGCGATATGCTTGCGCATATGGTTCCAGATAGCGATTTTCTCAACAGCAGCGTGAGTTTTGCTGATTCCCAAGTGTGCCATTGCTAATGGAGATTGGTGTGCTAAGGCGACGATGTCGTTTTTGACCTGGAACGATTCTGGTAGCACTAATTGAGGGTCTCGATATAGGCGGTTTGGCAATTTATAAAGAATGTTGTTTATTAGCAAGTAGTTAGATTCCTCCGCAGTGTCTTCATCATTTGCCAGAGCTGTCTTGATCCTTGCGATCCATGTGCACTCATCCTGTTCCTTGCTTATGGCGTCTAGCTGAATATTATCCCTTGTCATTGATGTAACAGCGTTTGCAACTAATGTTAGGTGTCGGGATAGCGCGTCGCATACTGTGTTCTTCTTCCCCGGGCGGCAAATAATGTCGATATCGAATTCTTGCGGTACAATCTGATATTTCGCCAATATTCCGGTAAGGTCCTTCCTATGGAGTAGTGCTTTGAGAGGTGTATGGTCGGTAATGACCGTACATTTGGCTCCATCTATGTAGGGGCGAAACTTTTGAACTGCGTAAACCAGACCTAATGCCTCAAGCTCTATTGCCGGATATCTTGCTTCATGTTTGTTTAGAGTGCGGCTCGCATAAGCGATGACACGCTCTAGTCCGTCCTGTTCTTGCTTGAGAATACCGGCGACTCCTTTTGCTGAACTGTCTGTTTCGATAATAAAAGGTCTGCCTAACCGTGGTGCTGCGAGAACAGGTGCCGTTGTATGCTTTTTCAAACGATCCATAGCTTCTTTGCACTGAGGTGTCCAATCAAAAAGTACATTCTTCTTTGTTAATGCAGTGAGCGGGGGAGCGATGGTAGCAAAGTTGTGTATGAATCTCCGGAAAAATGAGCACATTCCTAGAAACGACTTGACTTCCGTTGCATTTGTTGGTTGTGAGTACTGGTCAAAAGCTCTCGTTTTCTCAGGATTGGGTCTTATACCTTCTTTACTCAAGATAAATCCTAGGAACTTGATTTCTTCCTTTGCGAACTCACATTTAGATGCCTTCAGCTTCATTCATAGGATTTCGATCTTTCCTAGGACTTCATCAATATCTTCCAAGTGTTCTTCGGGACTGGCTGAAGTGATGATAAGATCGTCAATGTATATGAAAACTCTTGCTCTTAAGTACTTTTTGAAATCATCCATTATCCTTTGGAAAGTAGCCGGAGCTCCCTTTAATCCCATAGGCATCCGAATATACTCAATAGCTCCAAGAAAACATGCGAATGCTGTTCTTTCGCAGTGCTCCTCTTCCAGCGGAATCTGGTGAAATCCCTGCTGAAAATCAAGGGATGAGTAGAGACACTGGTTAGCGCAGAGATCGATGATATCTTGAATATTTGGGAGCATTGATTGTTGTGGTTTTGTGATAGCGTTGAGTCGCGAAAGTCAATTGTAAAGCGCCAAGCATTCGCTTCGCGTTTCTTCAGCAACACAATAGGGGCACAAAATGGAGGATGTTGATTCTCTAATAATTCCATCCTTCAGCATTTGAGTTATTTGTTTCTCAATTTCCTCTCGCTTCTCCAGCGGCACCCTGTAGATCTTCCTCGCTGGTATCGTCGCATTCTCAATAAGGTCTATACGATGTCGTATATTCCCTCTATAGTGCCCAAGATCTGGTCCTACGAAAGCACTGGCGTGATGTCTAATGATATTTCGTAGCTGCTTCTTTTGGTTCTCCGTTAAACTGGATTGTGATAGATCGATTTCCTTGGCGATATCGTACTCTTGAGACGATAAGACTGGGAATCTAGGCAGACGAGCTTCTCAATCTGCCTCTGGTGGAGCCCGAAAGTCGTTATCAACATGTGCATCCGTTGGGGAGTTTTTTGATATATGTGATTGAAGGGTAAGGAAAATCTTTGGGCGGGCTAGATTGTAGATTGTGGAACTTGTAATTGTTGTACCCATACTTCCGATGCGCATGCAGGATGTGCCACTGCTATCTTGAGCTTCTCAGGAAGTGTAACATGAGACATGGATGGATTGAGAACGTTGATGTAACAAGTTCCATCAATATTGGGAGTAACCAGGGCTCGACCAATGATGAAGATGTCGTTCATTGGTCTGCAGTTATCTTCAATGAGAAAATCTCTGCACCTCGGCCAAGTAAGTCCTTCGATGCGCGCTTCTACCATGTTGGTGGTGCGTTTGGGCGGCAATACTTCATTGGTGAGTCGTACCTCGTATGATGGTATTATTTCTAACGTAATGTAGTTAATCGAGACCATATCTACCGTTTCCGGTCCTATTCGTATCGTTTTATGATGGAGATCGAACGAGACTAAGAGTCCGTCTTTGTTTAACGCTCGAATGAAATCGGATCCTAAGAGGAGTGGGATTGGGCAATCTTTCTCTGCCGCTACGTAGAAACAATGGTAGATCACGTGAGTCCCTGTTTGTACTGGGAGACGAATTGAACCTACGAGTTGTATCATTGTGCCATTCGCAGTCGTTGCCATTTTCGGTACTTCTTCAAGTGATCCTCTGTCTCGAAGTAACGAAAAGGTTGACATCCTCATATACGATATGGTTGCCCCGCTGTCAAGTAGCCTGTCACATTGTTGTCTCCAATCCTAACCTCTAGGTAAGGTAAATGCTGCGTTGTTTCTGTTCCAACCGCGTAGATTCGTGGCACATAAAATGGTTCTTCTTCAACTACGTTTCATGGCATATCCACCATCAGCATGTTTACCGCACGTGCCTGTCTTCGGTTTCTCCCTTTGGGGGTAAAATTCCTGGCAATATCAAACATTGCTGATGCGGCCGTTGATGTTGCACGCCTGGTGAAGAAGAGCTTCACATAGATTACGCAGGCGGCAACACAGAGCAAGATGATAACGAGGGGTAATGCAACCCAGAGTACAGTGTATAGAATTGACGATTTGATGTCTTCCACACCAGCCGAAAGCTTTTTAGTCGTTGATTCGTAGAGTGACAATAAAGAATGGCCTAAGGAAGCACTGGTGTTTCGTATCCGTAAAAATGCCTCATCAATGATCCCCCTTTTTTGAAGCCGCAGAGCCATCTCCGCTTGTTCTTGTCTTATCGCTTCCATATATGGGATAATTGACGGAGCATAGCTGTCGAGTAGTCGGTAAAAGGTTGGTGGGCTTCAAAAGGGAAAGGTCTCTTATCACCGTTAATGACGGTGTTTGGTATTAATAGTTTCTGCGTCACGTTAAAGCGTTTTGGTAGCGGATAAGGGCATGCGATGGTGCTCGACGTCCGTATTAAGTCACGCGTTCTAGGTACGTGAAACCATAATTATCGATCATAGCTGGTGTCAGCGTGTAACACGTTCCATCAACCGTATGATTGTCGTAAACGACTGTAGGCGTTACTTGACGACATTTTGTGATCAGGAAATGGTCAGCAGTCCGGGCGGCCGTAACGTCAGTTCTTCCCAATAAGATCCTAGCAGCCCATGTGGGATCCATAGCGCTCAGAGCACGTATGCGCTGTGCTCCTAGGAACTGCCTAGCGCAGATGCTACTGAACTGACGTCGCGCCGCAAAATTTTTTGAAGATATGCTTTCCGTATTAGGTGATTGCATAGACGTCGGAAGCGTTGCGTGGGCATTAGTGAAGGTTACAGCTTCTGGTGTTGCTGAAACGTCTTCTATCTTCTTCGCCGTTGTTGGTATAATCATTGTCGTAGTAGGTATAATTGATGATAATACCGAATCCATCACTGACACAGTCGATAATACTGAATCTACAACTGGTATAGTCCAACCCATAGAGACGAATCTCGTTGTTCTTGTCAGGATTTCTTGCGGATGAAGGGTTGAAGTTGAGGTCTTGGATCGTAATATCATCTGAAGAGTAGGCAAAGGTGTATGATTATACATTTCCGTTACTGTAGGCGAAGTGATGAAAGAAGTAGTAGTTGATGGTGTTGTTAAAGATACAGGGATATGTTGATATCTCTTCAATATTATCGTACTCGATGATTGAGATAACTTGGTCGTTGTCACAATTCCGGTGGTTATATTAAGAGAAGTACCTTTTGTAAAAGGTGTGATGGTCGAACTGCTAGACTTTTCAAAAACTGTTGTTGATAGCTTTCTTGCTGTTCTGCTCGTGGTCATCCTCGAGGTCGTGGTTGTGAATCGTGTAGTTCTGAACTGGATCGCAGTTGTGGATGTCATCATAGTTGTAGATGTAGAGGCTGTGGTCGTAGGGGTCGTTGTAGAAGCTCTAGTTGTAGGAGTCGTAATGGTTCTGGACGGGGTTGTAGTTATAAGGGTTGTAGAAGTCGTTGTGGTTTTGGGCAGGGCTATAGTTGTGGGCTTCGTTGTGGTTATGGGTAGGGTTGTAGGCTTGGTCGTGGTTGTGAGCGGGGTCGTGGTTGTAGACTTCGTTGTGGTTGTGAGCAGAATTGTGGTCGTAGGCTTGGTCGTGGTTGTGGGCGGAGTTGTGGTTGTGGGCGGAGTTGTAATTTTGATGGAGCTATTGAAGTAAGGGAGTCTAGATTTTCAGTCTGCATCCAGTGATCCTGGCAGATTGATAGCAAATTTCCCAAATTCCTTTTCCAAATAGTCATCGAAAATCATGGAAATTGCAGATTCTGGATCTCTAAGAATATTATTCACTGCATAGTTCGGTGATTCTTTCTTCGCGATTTCTGCAAATAGATGTAGTTGTTTCATGCGGTATTCGCCGTACCGTATTGTACATAGTACAAGATGGCGTAGATCGTCGAATTTGTAGAGTCGCGCCGCTCTGTTGAAATCGCTGTTGGTGATATTCCAACGTTCCATTTCGGCAAGAATCTTCCACCATGTTATAGGACGTGTATTGAAAACAGGGATTCGTCTAAGTTGCATAACTTTGAATAGTCGTCTTATCAAAAATGTGGGTTCCATGGGTACGATTTCAAATGGAAAGGAGTTGCCTTGTCTATCCTTGAGGTACCGTGTAGCCCGTTTTATTCATCGTTGGTGGCAGCGCGTGACACATAGTCCTGAATTGTAATGTTTTGAGGAACATCGGGAAAGGTAACAACGTGATTTGATGTCGTGACTTTTGTAAGTCGTTCATGTAGCAAACTATCCTCAGAGAACTGAAATACGAGGTCCGGATGAGGCAGAACTATATGCTTTGAGGTGATAAAAGCTTCAAAAACTCCAACGTGTTCGAATCTACATGACGGGGTAACTTCCGTTGGTTCCCAAACGATCGTATACTCCTGAGTAAGGTAAAATCCTTGAGTGTATAGACAATCTTGAGTATCTCCCAAGGAACTGATAATATAGTGTCCGTCATAGGTGGCGATTTGTCCTTCCTCAAGTGTGTACACACTGCGAAGATAGTTCCTTGTTCCCCACAACGGTATTATTATATCGTCGTCCTCGAATTCCTTCGTACTTCGCAGTCCCTCAGATTGCAAGACAAGCTCATAATCCTGAATCTTTCCTGTTTTCCTTGCCATTGCACATAGCTCTTGTGGGATCGATACTCGTCGTCGTCGCAGTATGGTCGTCGTTGTACGAATACGGAGGAAACTGCTAATGGATACTTCAATGGCGTCTCTGTAACATTTCGTTGTGTTATACCAAAGGGGATTGGAGTTTTCCATAAATAGTCGTACTGTAGTTCGTAGCATGGAAACGTTTGCCGGAATTGTACAATCGATTGTCTCTGGAAGTGAAAAAACATTTGAGTACGGGTTTCTACCGCATATCTGATACTCCGCCATTATGCCACTGCACATAACCAATGCCATTATACATAGCAGGTGCGCTCCTGGGGTATAGGCATTCATGCTTCTTGCGAAATTACCTGACTGTTGTTGAAATGTTGAATCGCCAAATGATGAGGGGTTCTGTGGGCAAGGCGGACAAGTCCCGCAATTACAGCTCCTCGTCCTTTGCCCTAACGCGTTCGCTCAAACATTAAATGCGGTACGATTAGTGAAAGTCAAAGGGACGTTGGCGTTGAAAGAATGGAGGTCGTCTGAAATAATAACCACGCTGATTGGCAAAAGGTCTTGGAGGTGCTCGCATCATCCTCTGTCCTTGTTTATTCCTATACTGATTAATAGTTGGTTTTCCTTGCGGTGCTATTTTCATCTGGTTTAACTGTTGTTCCAGTCGGTTGATCTTCTCATCTGTGAGAAGTGCGTTAACAGCCTGTAGGGCGTCTCTATCTTCTGTTCTTTCCTGCTCCAATGCGATGCTCTTTCTCTGCACTGGATACTATATCTTCAAATTCACCGGTATTTGGTAGCCTTCTGATCGCCTTCCTAATCTCAGGGTTAAGGCCTTTGATGAAAAAATCAATGGCCATTTGTTTAACAATTGGTTCTCCCTGACCTTGAAAGGCAATTTTGGTTTTTGTAGATTTTTTTGGCGAGCTCTCCTACTGTGTCCTTCCTCTGCGTCATGTTGTGTAATTCATCTCGAATGTTGCTAAGCAGGGACGCATTCTTCATCCGCTTGGCCAATTCGGTTACCATTTCTTTCCATGGCAGTGTGTCCTGGTTCGGAATCTGTTGATATTTAAGTTTTGCTCCTCGCGTCAGATAAAGTGGCAAAAGTCTTTTCGCAATCACGTAAGAAATAGCAAATTGATGCGTCAAATCCTTATACTCGTCCAGGAATTCCTCGAAAGTTTTGTCTTCCGAGCCGGAGAACTTATCCAATCTATTGCCCAACATCTTGAAGGCTTTATACAGTTGCTCTTGCAGCTCTTCATCAGCAAGGGTCGGTGTCTGCTCGTTGGAAAGGATTGGGGTCGACTGATTAGAATTTTTCTCTTCCGGCATATTTTTGCGTCGCTTCAACTCGATAATTGCCTCTCTTTGTTGCTCTCTGCACTGACGCCGCAGTAGTCGTTCAGTAGCCTGGTGATGCCGTGTTTGACTGCAAGTTCTGAAAATACAAAATCTTAGTGAAAAGAGTACGGAAGTTCGAACGACACCGTTATGGGCGGCGATGGGATAACCACAGGTCTTATTATCAGGTTGCTAAGTACTTTGGTGAGAACAATGATGATATTATCGAGGATTCAGAGTAATGCGAGCATGGAAGAGTTTATAAATTCCGGTAATTTTTTTAGGAAAGATATCCATAAAACGCCGACCTTTCTATCAAGCAAACAAAAAATATTTCCCTCATTTTGTCTTTGAGAGATTCATAGCATAGAAAAATCTTCAGAAAATGTATTTAAAATGAACTACGAGTGAGGGAATTTTCCGAGCCCCTTTTTTTGTGTTGAAACTATATTGCAATTTATCACAAGTTTATAGACTTTACTGAATACAAGTTTATTTGCGAACAAGTCTACAAGCTTATGACAGATATGAACTTATTTGCAAATAAGTTTTAAACCTATAGGTACTACGAATTTATTCACAAAAAACTGAATTTATTTGCCAAATAAGGGAGATTATTTGTTCGCAGAATAAGAAGGTTTAGAATGTCTCCGGGGAGCAAGATTTCCATTCCTGGTCCTGATGTCCGAATGACTCCGACGAACGGAGTTTCCATTCGTCCTGCTCTTCCTCATCATCGTCCCATTTAAGAAGTTTCTGATCTGGTTGCAGAGCTTGGCGTGGCAGCCTAGCAAAGACCAACCAGATCTGCTCCGGGTGGAGCGCCAAGAGGGCGACCGGGCGAGGAGACCAGAAGTCCAAAACTGGTGCCCTAGGCGCCTCTAATTTGTAGTTGTATCGATACAGGAGATGATTATACAGGGTATGGCATTCTTCCCTAGGGCATCGGCTGCACGGGAACCTGAGTTCCCTGGCATTTTTGACATGCAGCCTTCATCTGTTGTGGTTCGGGATGTTCAGGCCACAGCTGCCATTAAATACGGACGTCGCCAACGGAAAGAGTCTTTGGCATCATTTCGTGATGTCTTCCGGCCAGAGCTGCGCGAGTGACATTCCAGTTGGTTCTTCCAGGAGAGTCTTAAGTCGATAGCACTGCACGTATGGTCTGATGATATGCATGTCTCTAGGAAATACCGCCATGAGACGCTGTTGGTGCTTCTTCCATTCTTGCGTCGGTTCGTCGGTCGTGACCGGAGTTTCATCGCGAATAGAGGTTAGAATGAATGCAAGCAATTCAATTCCGTTCATATCTGAAATTCTAAAGTTAATCTGGACAGGTGAGTTCGGAGCATAGATGCGATAGGTAGAGAAATTTCTCTGACCCCCTTCACTTTAGGGCCGGCATCTGGTTGACCCCTTTCACCTGAGGTTGAGACTAGAATCAAGGCATAACGGCATAATCAAACAGCTGTTACAACGGCATTTTGTGTTCGGAAAGGGAAGCCAGCTCTTTTCTTTTCAGACATCACGACTACAAGAGAGTATCGAAGTAGCAGCGTTTTGTTGAAAAAACGCATGCTTGAGACCTTCAGCGCACTCAAAGTGGCGTTAGTAACGAAACACAATCAAAAATTAATAGGATGACTGATTCTTTGAATAATTAACATTGTATCAATGAGTACACACTGTCACAGAAAGAGTTGAGCATGAGTAGAAAATCTGGACTAGCCAGTGATGGATGCATGTTTACTGACAAGAATTGTACTATATCTCCTTTCACTAGAGAGAATAATTACAAATAAAAGGGCATTCAGATTACTCGTTTCTCAGGCTTTCGAATCATATATAAACTTCGAAAAAAACTTCTTGGTCTGAAAAAATAATTACTCAGAATTGACTGATATTGTAGCTGGGTAAAAGTGCTCATATCTCGCTTCTCAGAGAAGCTAGGAAAAAAGAGACGGTCTACGTCGATTCCTCGTGTTCTTAGCTATCGAATGGTATACAAAGTTTTGGTGAATAAAGCTTTCCCAATCCGAAAAACTCTTGCTCCGGCTACCCATAGAAAGCCGGAGCAGGGTGGAGCAGGTTAGTATTGAATATCTCCACCTCATTTTTGAAAAGCCACAAATTTCTTCACCCAACAACCTGTATACCATTAGAAAGCCCACGAAAAATGGATTCGACGTAGACCGTCTCTTTTTCTCTAGCTCCCCTCTACCTAAAGATACATGGCATTTTAGCTAAAAACATGTGTGTTTTTGTCAAGAAATTCCTGCGTGAAAAATGAGTGAAGGTGCCTGGTTTTCTAACAGTAGCATAGAGCAAGACCTTGCCAGTAAACGTAGACCGTCTCTTTTTTTCTAGCTCCCCTCTTTCTCTCAGAAGTGAAGCGCAAAGTGATTGCATAAAATTAATTGAGGCTGAAGCTAGATCTGATTTCTTATATGTATATTCACAAGAGAGCTGGAAAAAAAGAGACGGTCTACGTCGATTCTATATGTCTCAAGCTTTCGTATGGTATGCCGACTTATGAAACACAAAGCCTTCCCAAGTCAAAAAAAGTCTCTATTTGATGACCTTCGATGACCTGAGCATTGAGAAAATTTTCATTTTACACCTCTATAGCGCTTATTTTCCTTCTTTTCACTCCCGCTACTGTTAGGCATGCAAACTGCGTCAGCATTCATCTTAAAACTCAGTTACCCTCTTCACTTTTCTAGATCGGAAATAGCCAAAACCCCCTTCACCTGGAGAGGAACCTGCTCCCCCTATCGCACCTATGGTTCGGAGGCGGAACCTCCATGTAAGGTTCCGGCTACTTTTGAAAGTTGAACTCTCTCCCCCAACAATATTTATTTTGGTAAATTTAATGAACAATTGGAACCAGAGCAATACAACGAGTGATATGAATCTACCATTTAGATAGAGAGGGAATGAGTAGAAATATGAAGGAAGAAAATAATAAAGATTAGATTAACACCATGAGATTCCGATGTCTTACAAACATAAACTCACATATTTATACTATTCCTTCCTTCCTGGAGTTTCTAGCAATTATCGATGTTTTACATTGGTGTTTTACTTGATAATAAGGTGAGAATTATAGAAAATTCATATCAGAACACTTTCACAATTCCATCTCGACCGGTTCCATCATGCTGCTGATTGCTTCAAACTTCTTACTTCCTAATTTTCATTTTTCACATCATTTCGTGTCTCGTTGAGTGATCCTGTCCTGAAAGCTATTGCAGTTTCAATTGCAGTTGTTTATGTGCAAGTATGAGCGTGTTGCATATGAGAGCTTCGAAGAATAAACATCTTACAATAAATATCTCTTTACAGGACCAAGGATCGAACTAGATATATGAGCGAAACATTTCGTACCCTTCTACGTAATCTACATTATAAACACCGTACGAGTACCCCATATCATCACCAATTAAACGGACAGATAGAACGCGTTAACCGCAGGCTAGAAGAACAAATCGCTATTACTACTCGTGATCATGGCGACGGATGGAATTATGGAATGAATGGAATCCACCTCGTGGCACATGCCTACATCAGCGCGGAAAATATTTCAACTACCCTATTTTCAGGTGTATAAGCCGCACTTTTTCAAATTTTCGCCCGGGCTGCTCAGCCGCCTTATTGTGTTTCGAGAAGCGATCCTTATGCCGCACGATTCTTTCAAGCAATACGCAGCACGGCATAGGGTCCTTTGGATGCGAGGTCCACTGATGTGTTCTGGCTGATCGATGTAAGCTAGGACCACCCCGCGGCTTATACACCTGAAAATAGGGTAAATACAGTCCATTTTTCCTCGGTCATGGTCACCATCCCATGAACATTTTTCAGCTAGCGCTTCAATTACCAAACAAGGAAATACGCAGATACAGAAGACTACGTGGGTAATCTTATCAAGATTCTGAAGGATACGTACCAAAATGTTTACTCGAATCTAGATAAAGCCGATAGACGCATACACGATAAAAGCGCAGGATCAACAGAAACATCATTACGACTTGAGAGCGAGAACCCCTAGAGGGCAGTACCAGATAGGTGAGAAAGTTTGGATAAGGAAAGATGGATGGCGGTCAAAAGCTTGCGACACGACTCGCGGGACCATTTCCAATCATCTCTATCGACCTACCTAACATTACGACCCCGAAGCACGAAAGGACTATTTACATCAACCGTACGAAGCTATACAAAGGAGATTCCGCAAAATAAAAAATGAAAAGATAAATTTTCCCCAACAGTGACAGTTGCTTAGGATAGTGTAGTTTAACTGTGGTACTTTTTTTTCTCTTTGTGCAAAAACATTCGATTATTAGTGTAATTTCTTTATTGATCACATTGCAGCTATTGTAAAATAGTAGTAAATAATAGTCCGGTAATTAACAACGGCGATAAGTAAGAAATAACCATTAGTTACAATAAATGTCCTCCAGCTCAGGACCCAAGGGTAACGATAAAGCTGAACTATATAAAAGAATATGCGTGGTGAGCTCAGGAGATGATGCTGGACGCTGACGACGACGAATCAATGCACAATGAATCAGAACATTTGTGACGAGTACAAAATCAACAGCACAACCGTAAATGGAGATTGCAGTCATAACTTCGAGTAAGAGAGCCAACAATGGAGACAACTTACCAGTACTTCCAACTGGGATCCAATAACCAGGAGGACTTCGCAGTTGTCTAGTTCATCGTCACAGAGACATCGAAATTGACCATCTACTTCCAAACATATCCCTCTGCCCATACACTCATGTACTTGCCCATGTGGTTCTATAGAGCGATTTTTTCGACGGCAGCGTGAGTTTTGCTGATTTCCAAGTGTGATCGCTAATTGAGATTGGTGTGCCAGGGCAATAATGTCGTTCTTGACCTCGAACGAATCCGGTAGCACTATATGAGGATCTATAGGCAGTTGGCAATTTATAAAGAATGCTGTTTATAAGCAAATAGAGATACCTCCGCAGTGTTTTATCATTTGCTAGAACAGTCTTGATCCTTGCGATCCATGTGCACTCATCCTGTTCCTTGAGTATAGCGCATAGTTGAATATTATCCTTTGTTACTGATGTGATAGCGTTTGCGACTAATGGTGGTGAAGATAGTGCATCGCATACTGTTTCTACTTCTTTCCTGGACGGTAAATAATGTCGACGTCGAATTTTTGCAGTGCAATCTGGTATTTAGCCAATCTTCCGCTGAGGTCCTTCCTATGGAGTGGTGCTTTGAGAAGTGCATGGTCAGTAATAACGGTACATTTGGCTCCATCTATGTACGGGCGGAACCTTTGAACTGCGAAACCAGACCTAGCGCCTCAAGTTCTAGCGCCTTATATCTTGCTTCATGCTTGTTTAGGGTGTGCGGCTCGCATAAGCGATAACATTTAGCCCATCCTGTTCTTGCTTGAGAACACCGGCGATTCCTTTTGCTGGACTGCCTGTTTCGATAATAAAAGGTATGCCTAGCCGTGGTGCTGCGAGAACAGCTGTCGTTGTTAGTGCTTTTTTCAGATGGTTCATAGCTTCTTTGCACTGAGGTGTTCAATCGAAAATACATTTTCGATTGGACACCAAATACAAAATACATCAAAAAGTACATTCTTCTTTGTTAGTGCAGTGAGCGGGGCAGCAATAGTAGCGAAGTTGTGTACGAATCTCCGGAAAAATGAGCACATTTCTAAAAACGACTTGACTTCCGTTGCATTCGTTGGTTGTGGGTACTAGTCGATAGCTCTCGTTTTCTCTGGATTGGGCCTTATGCCTTCCTTACTCCAGATAAATCTTAGGAACTTGGTTTTTTCCTTTGCGAATTCACATTTAGATCCCTTCAGCTTTATTCTCAGATTTCGATCTTTCTTAAAACTTCGTCAATATCTTGCAAATTCTTTCGGGCTGGCTGAAGTGATGAGAAGACGTCAATGTATATGAAAACTCTTGCCCTTAAGTACTTCTGGAAATCACCCATTATCCTTTGAAAAGTAGCAGGGGCTCTCTTGAATCCCATACGCATCCGAATATAGTTAAAGGCTCCAAGAAAACATGAAAATGCTGTTCGCAGTATTCTTGAAATCCTTGCTGAAAATTAAGGGATGAGTAGAGACGCTGCTTAGCACAGAGATCGATGATATACACGGAAACCTGAGCTCCCTGACGTTTTTGTGGTAAAAGCACCATCATGGTTGGGGATGTACTGGCCGCAGGTACCGTTGAATCCGGACGTAGCTAGCGAGAACAATTTTCGGCACCATCTTGTGATGTCCTCGGTCCACAGCTGCGCCATCG